CTTTCCCTTAGCCTTATGAAAAGCACCCTTTGAAAGAAAAGTAAGCATGTCTTCAGGACCGAAAGCTCACCTCTCCCAGCGACAACCAGCCCCTCTCCCTAACACCCCTTCCCACAGCAGACATACTCCTGGCTTGGGGACTCCCTCCCGCTAATGCAAACCCAAACATCAATCTACAAAGAGGTCTAAAGAGATAGATAGCAGCGTAGGCACGGGGTTTGGAAAAGATCCACCAGCTATCCTTGGCACCAGGCAGAATGGAATTCAGAGGTCCATGCAACGCTGCACAGGGGCTCTCGTGTCGTGCTGGGAGCACAACTGCACAGGAGCTGTGAAATATTGTCTTTTGTTCACTAAAGCCATGCATCAAGGTGCCAGTCCATCCAGGGCTCTCCTGCCTTCCCCTTTCCAAGCCCCCGCTGAGTATAAGACAAGCCAACCCCAGCATGCAAAGGATACAGGCGTGCAGGCTCTAGTCTGCTGCTTCTGTTAGTAAGTGCATCTTGTTAGTGGATTTATGAGACACACTTAATCCTATAAAAAAAATAAATAATCCTAATTCTTCATCAGGCTGGCCTAAGTAACCTTCAGCCTGACTGGATAAGCCACTGCCCACCAGCCCTCAAAACCAGTACAGTTCAAAGTTACATTTCATGTCAAGTCTGGGAAGCAGAACATGAATGTCTCCTACCCAAGGGAATATATGTAAACATAACAACAAGCCTGGTGTGGCAGCAGCTCCTACACAAGGTTTGTACAAATTTAAACAATGGGCAGGAAGTTAAACAACTGAATGGAAAAACAAGCTCTCTGAATGGAAAAAGAAGCTCTTTCAGCAAGTCAGAAGGTGCTCATCTGCAGGCAAACAGCTCTGTACACGCAATACGCTGAAAGCAGACCTGTTACCCAAATCTTTGCTACTCTGCCATACTGCTGGGAACTGACCTCAGCAACTTGTGCCTTAAGATTCTCCCAGGAGTTCACATCCTGGTCTCCCAAAAGGCCCAACAAAAAGGACCACATGATCGTTTATGTGGAGCTCTGAGCAGCAAGATGGCAAAGGACACCAGATCCTCCCCTCCCCCTTACTGACTCACAAACTATCCGAGATTTCACAGCTTTGCTTAGTCAGCTTAGTGTCAACACATTCACAGAATGAGAGATGGCTATACGTCTTGGGATTGCACCCCAAGATTTCAGAGTTCAAAGTCCTCAGCATCTCCTGGTCACCGTGACTGCACGCCCAGAGTCATCTTCAAGTTTTCATAAACCACGTAGCTGATGCTCACAGCCGGGATCACCTTCATAAAGTTTGGCGCCAGACCTCGGTAAAGACCAAATGCTCCCTCTGTCTTCAGAATGTGTTTAAACAGTCCTCTCATCGTCACTTCGGGAGCACCCTCCACTGACGCTGCAATAGGGAAAGCCATAATAAATAGTGCAGCCTAAGTGGTGAAAACACTTTAAGGTAACGCCTGTCTGAAAAAGCAGTTCTGATTCATGTGCTTCCTCCAGATATTCACAGAGCAAAGGTGCTTCATGGAGAACAGCATCTAACTTCTCAGCAAGCCACAGCCGTGCTGCACGTCGCAGCCATTTTCTCAAACTGCTCTGCAGACACCCTTAGCCCAAAACTCCTGATCTGAGCAAAACAGAATCTGTCCTGGAGGTGCTTGGCCCCAGATGCTAAGGGCAGCACAAAGTCCCCTGTCCTCTTGCAGCATGGCAAATAGCCTACTGCTCAGCTGCACAGGCCAGTTAAGGCTGTTGTTGCAATGTTTACACTAGAGGACCTTTACCCTGCTCAGAGACCATGACAGGAGTTCCCACAGTTCCCAGAAGTTCTCACCTTGCGCCTGCATGCGTGTCCTCACAAGAGCCAGAGGGTAACTGGCAAGCTGTCCACAGGTACTGGAGATGGTGCCACAGGCCAGCAGAACAAAGACTCCAGGGTCAGCACTGTTGACAGCATAGCGCTGCAACCAGGCATTTTTTAGTGTCTGGAACGAACAAGCCAGATGTTAGCAGTGAAGAGGGAATCAAAAGAATATCACATTACATAAAAGATCTAGTGTAAAGGTCCAGAAAGCTATGTGCAAATTCAGCCAGAAGCACCAGGTTTCTCAAATATTTTTGAGCCACTGCTACTGCAGTGCCTGGGGAAAATCCCTTCTTTAATTTTCTGCTGCAATTTTCTCATAAAAAAAAGAAACAAGGGACCATGCATGATGTTGACTAGGAGAGGAGAATCATTGTATTGGATTATCCTTTAGGCCACTTTGGGTAAAAAATCCATTTGTGCCACATAAGGCTGTTCAGGAAAGCCTCGATAAATTACTTAAACTCCTGTAGTAACTGACAGGTCTGACGGTGACAAAGCTACACAAGCAGCACAGCCCTACAATAGGTTAAAGGCTTCATACCTCATAGACTGCCAGGTCAATACCAGCATACGGAATGATTCCTAGCATGTTGGGGATGTAGCCTTTGTAGAAGGCTGCCATTCCTTCCTTCGAAAGGATGTTTTTGGCACAATCCAACATGCCTGAATATTGTCCAGTCTTCCTTAGAGCCATCCGTGTTTTCAGAACCTAGAAGCCAAGAATAAATACCATGAAGGCCTACAGGAGAATCAATAGGAGAAAAACTTACAATGTCATTCTTAAGAGCACGATGGTGAGGACTACAGCAAGTGTCATGCGAGCAGTATTACCCGATATGACCTCTGAGAACTCTTTAATTAAGTTATCATAGTGCTGGGGTTCCACCCACATTTCCCCACCTCAGCACCTTGCCATGACCCCTCACAGGCTGGGCCATCAGCCACCTGCCTCACCTCCATCGGGTAGATGCTGCTCTGTGCAATGGCCCCAGCCAGAGAACCAGCTAACAGCCGCTCGTGAATCCTCAGCATCTCTTGGTCGGTACCAATGAACCGCTTGATCTGTAGAAGTCAAAAGAGACAGACATTGAGGCTTGCTGACTTATCTCAGCTGTCTTATTGTTTTTCAGCTTGTCCTTCTGCAAATCTTTCTGCAGCCAGACTTGTCTGTGCCTTTTTACTCACCTGCTCATAGGCCATGAACTTAATGGCCGATTCCGGTGCAATCTTCAGCACATTGATGCCATTCCCTCGCCACAGTGACCTTGGTCCACCCTCTCGGATCATTTGAGTAAAGCCGCCAACGATGCACATGTTGTTACTGCGGGAGGCATGAACCTGGGAGAGAGACAGCAAGCTTGGATTAGTTCCAGTCCTGATTACGACAGTGCTACGTTTTTCCGTAATCCAGGGACAAAAGGGCGCTTTTTTATTTACCCAGAGATTTGTCAAGGCTTTAATCCCTTCCAGATAACTTCTATAATAGGAAAGCAAACTTCTTTTCTTTTTTTTGCGAAGTCTAGTGTTAACTAATGAATCTAATCAATACCTCCCTCTGGAATGCGAGGAAAGGTTAAATAGGCAACTCCCATACCTAGCGTAGGATCAGCTACCCAGGGTAAACCTCTCAGCTGGCTCAAGAGCAGGTGCAGTGACAAAGCAGGCTAAAACCAACTTTTTCTAACTCCTTTCTAACACTGCTAATACTTATACTGAGTATGAGCTCTGCCAGCTGACCGCCACAACCACTTCAACTCTCATGGCCTCAGAGTCTCCCATGGGAACATAAGACTTTAACCTGCTTCATCAAAATCCAAGTTTTCCAGTGCTCTAAATCACAAAGTTCTCTAACTACTGACGGTTTTCACATGTCTGTCTCCCAAAACATTATACTTTTTCTAGTCAATGAAGAATAACTCTTTAATAAGACTTTGATCATTCAAATAATCCAAAAAGCTTTCAAAAACAGCAATAAGAGCAATGAGATTAATCCTGGCCAAAGTGCTGTACTGTGTTGATGAACATTATCATCTCCTAGGTATCCAAGAATGTTAAAGGGATCTGCCTGGGTATTCAAACAAACTGGAACTGCTCCATCATACCTGCATGAGCACTTTCAAGCGGTCCAAGGGAGCTGTACAGGTTCTGGATACGGCACCTGCACCTCCACCTGCAACCAGATGTCTCCACCACATCCCTGTCTGTCTCTCTTCCACTGTGAACTCATCAGGGACGGTCAAATTCTCTCCTACGTCAAAGATCTGCAAAAGTATAAGGTGTCAAGAAATGTTTCATCAGCCAGTGATCTTGCCAAAGTTTTATTGCTCTTTATCAGTGCTAAGTGTTGAAGTACTGGGTATGCTTATTCCAAGTCAGCAGCTTATCTATAGTCATTAACTGCTACGTCTGGCCACAGGAATTGCCACTGCTATAGCACATCACAGGGGGAACCTTCACATTCAGAGATTTCAGCTGGTAATTGCTGAACATTTGTCTGCATTGAAATACTGTGGATCGCAGTAAGGAACAAAATTACCAACTGTGGGCAGCTGCATGGCAAAAAAGCTGGACCTCTCTGGAACCTTCCAAGTTCACAGCCAGTTTAATCCCGTTACATGCTATTTACACACACTGAAATCTCTCCAGGAAGGACGGCTGCCTGTCAAATCAGTTTCTAGTCTTAACAGGTCCTGAACCAGCAGGGGCTGGCCACTGGTATGAGCTCTCAGAAGTGCAAGCCAAGCGAACACTCTCATTTTCTTGTAGAATGTGCAGTTGTTATCACCCGTGCCAGAGGCTTCAGAAGCCATGCCACTGATAGGTGGCAAGATAACAGGACAGGAAGCAATTGGGCTTCTAGGGCTACAATGCAGCTATCGAACCATGAAGAGAACGATAGGGACTGCCGATAGCAGCTCCTGGGGGTCAGGGCTGTGACTGAGAAGCCGGGGAAAGACCAAGACCTGTTGCAGAGGAGCCATTTCTTACCGTGGAGTGCTTCCAGTACAGGATGATTTCAGGAATGTTCTCCACTGGGTGCAGCAGGTGATAGTCTCGCCACTCATTCCAATCAATTGTCATTGTCCCATTTTTATCCATGCTAAAAAGATTTACCATTAGATGAGTATAGATTCCCACTGGGTGTCAAATTCCTCCTCCCCTTCCCTTTGATTATTCAGGCCTACACCAAACAAAGCTTTGCAAAGCAACTACTAAAAGACTTCTAAAGAGACACAAGACAAAGCTAAGAAATCTTCTGTTCACCAAACACTGCAGAGAGGTAGAAGCGGGCTCCCCTTTTCCTCCCCTCTCTCTCTCCCTTTTAACTGACCCACAGGAGTAGTTGCACACCCTCCTACCAAACTGACACTGAAGGGAAAATAATACTTACTAGGTGACAGGACCCCAGAAGTGTCCCGTCCTTATTCTGACACACAGGCAAACAGACAGAGGGAAGGTAGCAGAGGAAAGAAAGAGGAAAAAACAGCACAAATAAGTGGTTGTTAACACATTAGTGCCACATGCATAAAGCATTCAGCATTTCCAAAGCGCAACTGCACAGTCCCTCTCCAAAGCAGCAAGCTCAGGGCAGCAGGACAATCAGACAGGGATGCAAATCAGCTCAAGTGCAAGCGCTTCCCCACAACAGGTCATGAAGATAAAAAGATTCTGACAGTAACACTCCATAATGCATTACGACCTTTTATAAGTGTCGATTTGGGGGGGGGGGGGCGTTGTCAAAATGAAGAATAATAGGCAAAAGGGAGGAGCTGAAGTCTCTGGAAAGTGTGCACAGGGTAGAAAGAGGAAATGGATTCCACGTCCCTACATTTCCTTCTAACCCCCTCAACAGTAAAACACAAGAACCAGCTGAATCCTCACCTTTTCAGTATTTTCTCAGCCTGCTGTTCAGAAATCTTGACTCCCAGGTCCCGAAGAGACTGTACAATCTCCTGGGCATCAATACGGCCTGCAAAGATAGGTCAGTGAGCTCAAGCAGACTTATCACAAGCTAATGCCTGCAGTAGTCTATTCATGAGCATGAGAAAGGTGTTTACCATCATTCTTCTTATCCAAACTCTTGAAGACCAGTCTCAGCTTCTTTTCATGATCCTGGAGATAGTGAACAAATTCCTCAAAATCCAGCTGTCCATCCAGGTCCTTGTCTCCAGCCTTCACTATTTTCTGTTCGGAAAACAATGAAAAACTGTCAGTTCCTTTGTTCCTTCAGATAGATCTGCCCCTTATTCTACTATATTTAAAGACCACTTCCTACATGACTGACTTTTCCTCCAGAAAGTAGCCAACAGAATTGTGATAATTCCTCAAAAGAAGTCTGAGCAAAGCAGTAACGTAGAAGAGTCACCTGATTCCAGGCAACTGTCTCCCAAAGTTAGTTACGCAGATGAAATGCCTCATGCTTTTGTCAGGGATATTCTGCTAGTATCATGTGTCTAATCTCAGCCCTGTATCTGGATTAACATCTTACAAAGCCCTTGTGGAGGTTCTAGAACTAAGTATGAGGCAACAGATTTGCATAAAAAGTGAATCACAAAACTTCAGGTAATAAAAAAAAACTGAACAGAAGGAATTTCATGCCTACTACGATCCTTAGAGAAGTAAGCTCCCTCTGGCAATAACTAACTCCAACCAGAAAAAGCCTGTCCAGTTCTAGTGGACAGAGCCAAAGATAAAAACCTCTGTGAACTGGTTTAGGTACCCTGAAGCTATGTGCTTTAATTATACAAGTTTCCATGAGATGCATATAGAACAAGAAAAGGTTCTTAATAGGACAAAGCTAAAATCAAGATCAGACTCTGTGCCAGACATCTAGGACAAGGCAAAGTATTAATTAACTCACCCCAGCATGGGGCAATAGCAGATGGACTGTCCTATCTAAGGGCACGTGCCTACTTGTTGACAGGAGAGGTGATCTCTAGACTGCAAGAATGTGGCTCAGGGAGTTCCTATTCCCCTTCTTGTTCAGTCACTTGCGTTTGACAACCTGTAAGACTTTTTCAACATGAACCAGTGAGCAACACTAAAAGACATGTGATTCAGTCCACTCCATCACCTAAATTTTTTGGTTTAATTCTTGTAACATTTATGTGAACAGCAGGTGGGTTGTTAAGGAAGCTCTGAGCTGAGATCAAACACTACGCCAACCCTCTGTTCACCAATATTTTGTTCAATATTTAAGCTGCAAAGGTAATAGGCAAACCTAAGCTTATTGTGATATTTTCTCAGCCTATGAGCACCAGCCCCCTTCATAAGCCTTAACTCTTTGTTTCAATGCCATTTAAAATTACTTCAATACAAAATACTTCACTATTAAAACTCTCTCTCACCCCACCAAGTCCTATCACTTTAGCCCTAATGCTACGAGGATTATTCCTAATCGTTTTATGCACCTTAAATAAGAAAGTGCTGTCCCAGCTGCCCTGACCTTTGAGATATGTCCAGTATTCTTAACCTGCATTTTATCATATGACTGTTATAAAGTTCAGATATGACCCCACATTCAACTTGTAGCCTAAAGATAGACCAACAGCCCTCGCATGTCAGCAGATTGGCCTTGAACAGCTGAATCAGGGTTTCTTTCTCACTGGCAACCCCCAACCATTTGACAGGCACTAATAATTCAGAGGCACTGTAAGAAAGATGTGATGGTGCAACTGGTCCCGTTCCCCCAGCACAGCCCTAACGACTGCAGAGGTGTGCAAGGAGTGATCAGAGACCGCCGGTAATAAAAGCTGCCTTGCTCTGCTAGCCTTCCCCCTCCACGATCACAAAGCAAAAATGCCGCAAGTCTGTCGAACCATAACACACGTGTGAAGGGTGAGAAAGCCAAGCTCCCAGCATCTTCTCCAGAGATACAAATAAATAATCTGCCTGCAGCTCTTCACCTTTAATAGCAAATACGAAATCTCCGTAGACAGAACTGGTCATTAACAGCTATGATGGATGCAGAGGTTTCTACGGGCACCTGCGTAACACAGCCCCTGCAGCACATTTTGGGACCCCACACATCTTAGAGCCTGCTACATCCCTCGTTTGTGTGTCTGCACAAAAAGCCTACCCAGCTTTGCTGTTCAATAATCAGCTGTCTGAGCTCTTGACAACCTGGTCATCAAAATCACAGGGCTGCGATAGTCTTGGACGGAGCACTCCGCAGATTCAGTGCCTCTCCCTTCGGCAGCGAAGGGAAACGCTCTTGCACAACCTCCCCCGGCTCAGCTCACCCACCGCTGCCGAGCTCGAGCCGCTCGCATGGAGCTGCTCACAGCTCACACCACCAACCTGCCCAGCTTCACCGGGGCGAGACCTGCACCGGCCCGAGCTGACACTAGATTACACACCTCCTGTCAGAAGGGAGGCAGGCGGAGGAAGGGTGTAAGAAGGAAAAGGAAGAGGATGTGAAACGTTGCATTTGAACGGACTAGTTAAAGTCGAAGAACGCATAGTTTGGAAAACCCCTTCTCCTATTTAATCTGCATCAAATCAACTGGTTTAAACAGTCTTAGATGTACTGAGATCTCACTCAATTCAAACCAAAAGAATCAAAAAGAGAAAAGTCCACTCCACGCTGCTTCAGCAATCCCTGCCAAGTGGCAAGAGAAGGTGTCCAAGCTGTACCCAGCTATTACGACAGAGCTGTCATGAACTTCTCCCTCTCCGACCCGCCACTCGGGGTGTTGGAGACCACCAGTCCATCACTCGCTCCCTCCCATTCCTCCCTTGGGGCCATACCTGCTTCCACTGGCGGTACGTGGAGAACTCCTGGGAAGGAATGAAGAGGCTGAGTCGGAAGATCGATTTCAGTTCAGCCGGCAGCCCCTTTGACTCAAAGTATTCAAACTCTGTCTGCGACTCCCCAAACACCGGCACATACAGACAGAGGCAGAGCATCTTTCTGAGCTGGAGACTCAGCTGCCCTGCTCAGACCTACCGGGAAGTGAAGTAAAACTGAATGATTCCCCTGAGCTAATTTCAGTGCTTAGTGGAAAGGAAATACCAGTAAGTCTCATGACACACGCCTGTGAGCGCAGCTAGCTCCGGTGGGATTGGCTGTACAAGCCCTGCCCTTCTACTTAAAAGGGAAGCGGAGGCCGTACAGTCCCACCCAGCTGCCAGCCAGACACCGGTGGAGGCATGTGAGCTGCCTCCCATTGCTCAACACCAGAGACCTTACATCACACTTGCTGCAAGTTAACTCTTACCCGGCATCTCTTTTAACCCAAGAGTCTTTGGCCAACATGCGAGACGCTCACTTGCTGTTCCTGACATCCGATCGGTCCTTTCTGATCCTGTTCTCACCCCTCCGGGGATTTACACACGCAGCACAGTAGGCTTGATCATAACCTCTCCCACCATACAACGCAGGAAGACTCTCAACTGTCGTCTTCTTCCAAAAAAGTCTTCCTCTAAAACACAGTAAGAGCAGGATGCCAGACTCTTACTGTTTTCATACATGTTTGGGATATCCAGCTTAACCAAAAGCCTTGAAATTCCACTTTTATAAGGTTACTTTGCTATGCCAGAGTCGACCGGCTTTGTTTGCCCGTTCTCCCAAAAACACTTGTGCCAGCTAGGAGCCAGCAACCCCCGCATACCAAGATCTCTCTCCTCTGCGGCGCTCCGGAGTTACTAACATAGGCAGCAACAAAGCCTGTGGAGAGGGTTTGCCATTGTGCCAAATAGCCAGAAAACCACCGAAATCAAGGGCAGGCTTCAAAATAGACCCAGCTGCTTCAAAGCCTCCTAGCTAAGCATCCACACAGCAGTTACACCAGCTTAATAGCTTTTCCTCCTCTTCCAACTACAATTAAACATTGCAGTTGGATACGCGCTATAATGAGAAGTGGCCCAGGCAGAACAACATTTTCCAGTTTCCAGCATTTACAGTTTAAACACTTTGGAAGCGAGTTACTGAGCTTTCATCAGGAGCAAGCCAGGCTGAGGAGGGAGTGTGGCATACGCATCACTTAATGCAGACATAATTACAGACTTCTGAGCATTTCGTGGGGTTTGATGTATGGGATAACACCCAGCTCTACAGCGAGAAAACCCAAGGAGTGCAGCAGGTAACAATGCTGCTCAGTACAGAATTACTGATTGCTAACATGAATTTTAAAGTAAAGTTATAGTCTTGATATTCATCAAAGAGAAGCTATCATACAAGAAAGATGAAAAAAGCCATAGCCAATAACCAAAACACTGTAATCCTCCCTGCACCTGAAGTAACACAGCATGTTTGCTAAACTGGTTTAAGCCAGCCCAGCTAACAGCTTTCCCCACCACTGCGGACACAGCAACATTTTCTTGTGCTTGCTCTGTTTAAACAGACTGCCTGGCCAGTGCAAAGTCCAATAAGCGCTCCCCTCCTCAGATCCTAACGCACAAGGAGCCTTTACATCTTCACCGTGGTATTTTGTGCTTTAAAGAAAAGCCAAGGTCTGTAATAAGCTGTTTGTGGAGTTGCGTGTCAATCACACGAATTGGGAATATTTAATCTGGGGTTTTATTTCAAGGATTTTTTTTTTTTTTTTAAAAAAAAGAAAGCTTAATAGATCACGACTCGCAGCAATTCAGTACCCTTGAGAATCGTGACCTACAACGGTTTCCTACGCCCTCCCCCGGGCACCTCACCTACCATGGCACTACTGCCGCGTTACCTAACCAGGCTTAACCTACTCCCTGCTGACGTCTCTCCGCATGAAAACAGGATCTTCTCAGGGACTCCAGATCCTCTTAAAGATCAGCTGCACCAGCTCGCTACATGCACGCCAAGAGCACACCCCAGCCTTCCCACCAAGTCGAGTCTCGCTGCAAGCAGCATCCTAATGCTACGCACCATCGGCCAAAAGCAAACGCCTTCAGTAGCCTGGCCAAGGCGAGCAGGTCATTCCCCCCCAGCTCCAGGTAGTAAGTGAACAAATGTAACTCAGATTTGCCCCACCAAGCCTTAAGATCCTCCATAGTCCTTCCCACGAGTTGCCAGGCATCACTATTATAGCTGCTTGGCAGCTCAGTTGCTATGCCAACGTGATGCAGATTTTCCTAATAAACTCTGTCTGAAGTTGGCAGCTAGAGACAAAAGGCAAAATCTGCACATTTTGGGGAAAAAAGCCCTACTACCTACGTCAGAGGAAAGGAGAAAGGTAATGAGGTTAAGAAAGCTGATTTTAAGCGGGGTATTAATCACCAGACAGTGAGCTAAGGAGAGATAGATTATAAATGACGTTTATATCAGCAATTCTGGTTATAATGACAAAGGGAACTTAAACAAGCACTAACAAGTTTTCAGATTTCACCTAAAAAAAATCCTGGTAAACCTGGAAGTACTTAAAAGCCAGACAGCTCTCCAAAGCAGCAGGGATCAGTGCTGCTGGAACACAACTAGAAGGGGTCACTACCCAAGCCTCAGCACTCGCAGCCGGTCCCGCTCCCCAGCCCCTGTCCCGCTCCCCAGCCCCTGTCCCTGCAGGCAGCAGCACACCCACCCCAGGGGCTCAGACCTGAGCCCCAGACAGTACCTCCCTCATTAGCACTGCCTATTCCAGATCAAACGAAGGACAGGGTACAGAGTTCTAAATAAAGTCAGTCCTTTCAAGTCAGTCCTCCCTAATACTTCTTCCATCCACCAATTCTGCCAATGAAGCCAGAGCTGGACCTGTACATTTTTGGTCAATGTGAAGCCAGCCTAGCTAATCCCCTCCTCTGCTAAAGGGAGCACTAGATGGGTCCGTCTTCCTTCTACAGAAGGCTCACTTTTCCTGCCGTCAAGGAAGTTGCAAACTGATTTTCATTTTATTTATAGGATTTGGTTCTTATTTAAATGCTGCACGAGTTACCAGTTTCAATACCCTGCCATTCCAACGCTAACCTCTCCAAGTCCTATGTACTCTTCTAGGCATCTGCTTCATCACCAGTTTACTACATCAGCTCCAGAAGGCACCTCCCAAAGGATGGGAGGATGCAACCATACAAGGAGCAGGAAAGTATACTGGTTAATTTTGAATTTACTTTGCTAAAAAAAAAAAAAGTCTCTAAAAATATCAAGTGCCAGTGAGCGTCACAGCCACATAACATCCTCCCTCACAGGCAAAACAGCTTCCTGGGCAAGTACACATGGGCCAGAGAACCACTATTGCTCAAAGTTTTCACCAGGTTCTGGTGACTCGGTATTTTTTAATTTCTGGAAACTAGCTTATAATTAATTGTACAGTACAGAAAGTCCTCGCAAAACACAAA